GTGGAACAAGCTGCTCAGCCAAGATGCTCTGGTTTCAAGAAACAACTGGGTGAGATCCTCCATTCAGGACAAGAGACTCTTCTTTACACAAAGGGCTGTGGGAGTGTGGAACAAGCCGTTGTTGTCAATACCCTGACTTCTTTCAAGAGACAAAGAAAATGAGATCCTGGGATCATTTAGCTTCTAGCGAGAGTATTCTTGCAGGAAACTAAGAACAGGTCTGATACAACCATGTTTGACATTGAGAACTGCAGCATCTTTATCCCTTGTGTTCATTAATAAATGTTTATCTGGGGCATTGGTTGGTCGAAAAGGCATTACTGAGGGTCCCTGCCTTCAAGCACGTTTTCGGGATGACTGCGGATTAAATTGTTTTGCACATATTAAAAAAGAAATCAGATGGCCACTGCGGTCAGCACGTAGTGGTGAATTATCCGAGCCGTGAGCCATTGTGCTGCGATAAACTTCCGTGATCTTTGACCTGTGCTCCTTTGTCTCTCGTAATTCCCTGTAAATACTCCGGGTTTGCAGCATGCAATTACGAGAGTTTTATTCTTTCCGTGTTTAATGAAGGTGCTTAATCCCTCGGAGTAAGATTGGAAACTATGAGAGGAATGAAATTTCATAATGACGGGCGGCCTCCCCTCTCCCTGGTCATCACGTCAGCTGTGGTGTCAGTCGTGGGTTGCCATGGCAGTGTGGTACCAAGATGGGGTCATGGCTGTGAAGGAGGCGGGCAGGAGCTGGCTGGCCCAGTCCGGTCTGATCCGCACAGCCTGGGTCCCCCTGAGGTTGTGCAAAAAGCGTTAAGTCCCACTGCACAGCAGAAGAGAGAAAGTGCCTCAGCAGGCGAATTAGGAGAAAACTGCAGGGAGGACAGACTGTCCAGCACCCGGGTGGAATTTAGCCATGACTCTGGGATTGTACACTCTGATCAGAGGGAGGAGCGCCCCCTACTGGTCCACCAACCACTTGGGTTTCCTGGATAGAGATTTTGCCCTGTAGATCTGTCACTCCCAGCAGATCCCCCGAGATCTAGCGCGATCTAAAAGGCGGCGGTGCCGATGTTTTTGTGCAGCGTGTGGTTCACAACTGCAGCAGAACGCTGTGTGCGTCCCGTGTGCATCCGGGGGGCCTGTTTCCGCCCAGATCCTCCCCGCGCATCCCGAGAGCCGACGGGTTGCCACGGCAACTCCACCGGTTCTGTAACGGCTCCATCTCCATGGAAACCTGCGCTCAACAAGTGTTTTTAGGCGGGGGGGCCCGGGCGATGGGAGCCAGGAATAACCGCTTGTCATTTTATTTCGGATACGGAGAGAGAGAGAGAGGTAGAAGTACAACAGGCATGTGGGAGATGTGTTATTTAAAAGCAAAGAACAGCTTTGGATAAAACCAACCAGCTGAAGTACAAAACGGCCCTCTGAGCGCCACGCCTCTGCGGGTCCTGTGTCTTCAGGGCAGTGGGGTACCACTGTGCTCGGTCACGGATCAGCCTGGCGCACTCACACAGACGGGGCGTCGGGCTCATATACCCCCCTCTGGGCTGGTGTCCCTGCAGCCCCGGGCCCGGTGCCGGCTCGGTTCTGTTCTCTCCGGCCCGGGGCGAGCAGGCAGAGTGGGGAACTGGAGAAGACCTCATTGCCGGCTGGACACCTGACTCTGTTGACCCCACGGCTGCTGGCACACAGCCCAGCCTGCCGCCCTGTGCCAGGGAGCGGGGGTTAAAGGTCAGGTCAACACCAGCGGGGGGGTGTGCGACGACCCCCCAGACACGAGTGCTGCAGAAACTCGGCTCTCTGGGAACCTTGCCCCTCGGATAACATGCCCCCTGGCTCAGGAGCACTTCCAAGGGGTCCTGTCTCTCGCAGGTGTGTGAAGTCAGGGCACTGGCGTGGGCTGGGACAACAGACTTGGTGACGCGGACGTGCTTGTGTGTTTTCCTCTGACCGTGACCGTCTGCGCGGTGACTCTGACCTTCGTTCAAGTCTGCTGCGCTTCACCCCTCCATCGGCGATCGTTATTAATTATTACTCAATTAACATCTGCGCCAGTTCATTCCTGCGCTCCTCTGTGCAACGCCCCTCCCCCCTGAGGAACTGACATGACGTGCAGCCGAACCCCAGCACCCCCCAGGTTGTTGAGGTCTGGGGCAGGGCGGGGGAGGGGTGTCACCCTTGTGCCACCTGCACCAAATCCTTCAAGCTCAGTTCCCCCAAATCCTAACTGGGCTGATCCAACGGGAAGAGTGCGCCCTACTGATCAGGCTCGCTCTTTAACATAAAATATTAGTGTTCATGTTACGTACTGGTTCAAGGATATGAAAGGTGTCCTTTAAGAGCACACTTTCACCATGAATTATGGGAATGTTGTTAACTAAGTCGTTCGGGCTGTGTCACTGGTCACGGTTGGCTGTGTCACGCTGACAGGCCCTGCTCAGGGCCAAACAGCCATTCCTGCCTGCAGACTTTGATGTTAATATACACAAACACAGAATCTGAAGTCTGTTTAGATGGTTGTGCTTTCTAACACTGAGAAACAGCCTGAGCTCATGAGTACTTACATTCCCATTTATATACTGTACAGAATTGAACATCGGTGTGGGGACAGCCTCTGAGAAAACAGAACTCCTGAAACACCTGATACGGGGTTCATTAAGAAAGCTGGAGCAAAATTCTTTATAAAAGTCTCCTGGATGTCTGATTTGT